TGTCTGTGTGTGTGTGTCTGTTGCCGTACATACGTGTCTGTCTGTGTCTGCCTCTCCGCCACTCCGCCTATATGCCTCTCTGCCTGTCCCCATGCTTTGCGCTTTCTTTCCCTCTCGTCCACCCGCTGCGGTGCTGGGCACCAACCCTCACCCCTCATTCCTTGCATCACGTCACCACGAACAGGACCTGGTTGATGATGGCGAGAGATTCATGCAAGAGTCACACATGCGGCGCCTCAACTCCATGTCCCAGGCCGTGCGCAAAGCAGAGGTTAGCGCTGTTGTGGTGGACGCAGGGGGCGGGATGACTGGAGGCTGGAGCAGCTGCCTGCGGTTTCACTTGGGGCACAAACACACGCACGCACGCACAACACAGTCAGACAAACACAGTCAGGCAAACACAGTCAGACATACACCACAACACTCACTTACTCATTCACTCACTCACTCACCCACTCACTCACTCACCCACTCACACGCACACACACACACACACACACACACACACACACACACACACACTCACTCACTCACTCACTCACACACACACACACACACTCACTCTCTCTCTCTCACACACTCACTCTCTCTCTCTCACTCTCTCTCTCTCTCTCTCTCTCTCTCTCTCTCTCTCTCTCTCTCTCTCTCACTCACTCACTCACACTCCTTCCCTCATCCACTGCACCCTGTACATTGGTGGCGCGGTGCCGTGTGCAGCAAGAGCAGCTGGTGTGGCACGAGCAGGACATGCAGAAGGCGGTGATGGAGTTGGAGGAACTTGAGCGCGGGCTGCGCATCACCACCGTTGAGCGCGGCTGACCGTGCTGCTGGTGCTGCTGGTGCTGCTGATGATGGTGTGTTGTGGTGCGTTGTGGTGCACGTAGTCCGTGGGACAAACGGATGATGATGTTGCTATGACGATGATGATGGTGGTGGTGGTGCTGGTGGTGGTGGTTGATGATGGTGTTCTTCCTTGCTACTTTATCGTTGTCTCTCTCCCCCTCTGTGTTGTTGTGACCGCGCTGGCGTGGTGCAACCAGGGAAGCACAACGGAGATGACACGATCCGAAGTTTGTTATTGCCCCTAACTTTGTCCTCGTGTGATATCATGTGTGCGTGTGTTCTTGTCTCATCATTAAACGTTTTTGTACGACCAAACGTCACGACATACACGAGCCACATGACAGGCCACACACACACACACACACACACACACACACACACACACACACAACCACGCTCAGTCTGCACACGTGTGTAAGTAAGCCCGACTCTCGTTTACTGGATGTGGGGATGACTGCTGACACGCCAAGGGAAGAAAATACAGCACAAGAAGAGGGGAAACGGGGCGGACAACAAGGGCACGCCAACAAAGCACCAACCAGCAACCAGGAACGACACCACCAGCACCAACAACAGGGACAGCAACAACGGCAACGGAGCTGCTTGCGCAGCCGCGTCGTCGCACTGCTTAGCGGTAGCGGCGCCAGTTGAGGGTGTTGCGGCGCTTCCAGGAGGCACGGCGGGAGCCACCAGTGGTCTTGTTGTACCTGTGACCATGGCCGAGACCACGGTTCTTGCGGCCGGCGGACGTGAGGGCGCGCATCTCACGGTGCTTGTGCACGTTCTTGCAGATCCAGTTGATGCGGGCATCGCGGCGGATGGCCTTGTGCGCGGGGTCAACAAGGATGACCTCGTAGTACTTGTAGGTGGCGTCCTGGGCAACCCAGTAGGAGTTGAGGACGCGGAGACCACCGCAGCGACGGCCGGCGCGCTCCTCGGCGACGCTCTGCTTGCTGCGCTGGAACTTGAGGTGGTTCACACCCTGGTTGGTGGGCTTGCCGCAAACGGCACCCTTGCTGACCTTGCGCTTGCGGCCACCACGCCTGACGCGGACGCGGTAGATGACGTAGCCCTGCTTTGCCTGCGGGGTGGGCACGTGCGTGTGTGTGTGTGTGTGTGTGTGTGTGTGTGTGTGTGTGTGTGTGTGTGTGTGTGCAAGCGTATATGTGTGTGCACATGTCGCGTGTGGTGGATTGGCATGAGTGATAGCATGGGAGCAAGGTGGAACGACACGGCACGTGCACGACGCGCGCACACGTGCAATCGCAGCACACCAAGAGCCATGTAGCAGCACCCAAGCACAGCACAGACAACACGCATCACGCCGTGAAGGTGTGTCCCACATCTCCACAACATCACGCGCACAACGGCGGTGCCGCTGCAAGCACCACAAACAGCACATCACACAAAGACATAGCACAGACACAAACACGTAGCACAGACACGCCACAGCATGAGACACAGGTGCACAAGACAGGCCGCCATTTGGCATTGTGGCTGGCTGGCTTTACCTTGTAGCCGAGGCGGCGGGCCTTGTCGGGCCTGCTGGGCTGGCTGGCACGGTGGACCGAGGTCAGCTGGCGCAGCTTCCAGGCGCGGATGCGGAGCACAAAGCGAAGCACATCGCACTGCTTGCGCTTGTACAGCTCCTCAACGTACTTGTACACACCCATCGTGTCAGCAGAGAGAGAAGTGGGGTGATAACCTTCGTTCGCAAAACAGAAATGCAGGGCACGTGTGAGGTGTGATCAGCAGCGTGGTGGTGGATGATGATGGTGTTGTGTGCAGAAGAGCGGTCACGCGTGGTGGTGTTGGTGGTCAGAGCTGCAATCGCCTCATGCGCAGCTGTGCACGGCTGCTCACGCCCGTGCCGTGCTCCAACCACACAACCAGCGCCATTGCCGCTGCCGGCAGCAGCGGCAGAAGCAGCAGCAGCAATGAAGTCTGCATCTGCCTCCCCCCCCCCTATCCCCCAACATCATCGCCAGCTTGCTCTGGAAGAGCACGTGTGCTGTGGCTGGTGCTTGTGTTGCTGCTGCGGCTCATCTTCTCCGTCGAGCACACAAGTTGTCGCGTGGGCTGATGGTGCTGCATGCTCCACGACGCTCCACGCCACCCGTACACGAGTAGCATCGGCCGTGCACACCCCAGCAGTGATGGAGACAACCACCACCACGCACAACCACCGTGGGCGAAGCACCACGCTCACGCTCGCTTCGTTCATCTCCCTCCACTTCGCACACACACACTATCCATCGCCGCACACTCAACTCGAGGGCTCACCTGCGGTCAGGAAGAAAAAGGCATGCGACAGGAGGCGATAAAAACTCCAGCACACGCCACGAACAAAACTCAGAATGTGCCAAACTGCGCATTTACGTTCATCAGCCATATCTTCGCATAATCGTCAGAACTTGAACCAGCCAACACACAAACAAGCAGCAACCACCGCTTCGTCTGACGCTCACCGCACACACTCGTCACACAGAGCCATCATCATGGGTGAGTGTATGTGTGTGTATGTGTGGTTGCTTGTGTGTGTGTGTGTGTGTGTTGTTTGTGGTTGTGTGCTGTTTGTGTTGCCGCATGATGAGCACCCGCGCTTGAAACTGCACGCGTGATCCTCTCGGCTTGCTTTGCCTCAAACTCATACTGTCGCGTGTCTGCAATCGCAGGAGCACGAACGCCAGCGACAACGTCGCTTGCAGTTGCCGCCGTGCTTGCCGTGCTGGCATTTGCCAGCTTGCAGCTGTTTGCAGACACCTTGCGTGAGAGCAAGGTAGGCACCATCGGTGCCGGCTTTGTCTCGTCCCTCATCTACATTATGACCCTCACCGCCATCAACAACATCGAGTGCTCAGTCTTTGGCTCAAACTACCAAGCAGGAATCTTCCCCGAATGTACGTGTGCACATGTGAGCGAAAATGAAGGGAAAGCAAAAGGAGGGTCAGAGAGGGTTTGGCAAATGAGGCTGTGTATGCGTATGTGTGCATGTGTCTGTGTTGTGTGTCTGTCTGTGTCTGTGTTGCGTGTCTGTATCTGTGTTGTGGGTCTGTGTCTGTGATGAGGTGCGCTGCGCTGTGTTGTGGGTCTGTGTCTGTGATGAGGTGCGCTGCGCTGTGGTGTGTTGGATGGATCAGTCGTCGGATCCAGTGTTGGATGTGTCAGCGTGGTGGCTGAGATGTCACTGAAAAGGACACGCCACCGAATGTGGTGTTAACTGCGCAGCTTAGGTTGTGATGGCTGCCGATGGTGTCTCATTGAGGCTGCTGCAGTTGTGACTGTTTTGCCGTTTGCTCAGCCATCACCCATTGTGCATGTCCTGCAGGTGTGCTGGCCTTGTTTGTGGCCATGGCGTGTGCAGCAACGATTCACGGTGTCAGCGTTACAACTTGGTACGAGGCGTGTTTTGTGTCCGTGTCTGCATGTGTGCGGCAGTGAACAACGGGTCATGTGTTGTGGCTACGTGTGCACATGTGTCCGTCTGTCTCTGCCCACCTGCCCATCTATCTCCCAGTGGGTGTCTTCACGAATATGCTCGCGTGCTTCTGGGTGCCTGATGATGTTTGTCCTTTTCACCCGTGATGTGGCAACACCCACAAACACTTCGCACTGGCTCACACATACACACACATGAATACACACACACACACATGTACATGCTTTCTTTCTCCTCCACACTCACGCTCACACTCCCTTGCTTTTTCCCCCCGTCCCCTTTTTACACACGTATTCACGCAGCTTCTTGTTCAGCTGTGGGCACACGTTCTTCCTCAACCGACTCTCCACACAACTGTACAGCTCAAGAAAGCAATAAACCCCTCCCCCCATCCACACGCGCACGCGCACGCGCACATCCACACGCAGGCCTGTTTGTGCTGCTGCGTCTCCGGCGATGTCGTGTTGCTCTTCACTCTCTCTCTGTTCTCCCTCCTCGTTATTTCAAGCAAAGCATCAAGCAAGTGCCGACCAACCATCAACCACCAAGCAAGCAATTCAAAGAAGTCCACCAGCAACAGTCAAATCCCACATCCAACACCTCATCATCCAAACACCTCACACAACCACAGAGCTGCGATGTGGGAGGTGATGCTGGCTGCAGCGTGCTGCTGTGGGTGGGCTTCGTCGCCCCGGCAACAGGCAAAGCTTGACCTCAAGAACAGCCTGCTGGTGGCCGTGCACGGCAGCAGCAGCGCACATGAAGGCGCGGGTGTTCCGCTGAAGCAGCACAGCAAGTCGTTTGTGATCGGCGTCAACGCCGCCTGTCGACCTGATGGTGCCCGCGCTGCCGCTGCTCGATGCACTGAACGCATCCGCCACAGCCATGCCCAGTGGCCCTGCCGACCTCACTGCGCTTGCGTCCGTCGATGACCTGACCAGGTGCTTTGCGCACCACTTTGCGCAGGGCGCTGCGGCCGAGCGCTTCTTTGCCGACGCTGAAGTCTTCAACGCCATTGTCAGCGCTGCGAGGTCCCTTCCGCAGACGGTGGCTTTCACCGGCGGCAACGCCGCCCTCATGGCGGACTTCCTGGCAGCAGCAGACACGCGGGAGCACCGGCACGAGGTGATTCTTGCGGCCAGGGTGGGCCCGCGGCTGAAGCAGCTGCTGCGCCCGGGAATCACCGTCCCAGACGAGTTTCTCGACGAGGCCGACGAGTACCACGTGATCATGGAGTACCATCGCGGGGACCAGTGGGGCGAGGCGACGGCCCCGCAGGCAAACCGGTTCATCTTCTCCCATGACCGCACCAACGCTGAGCTGCGTGCCGTGCCCACGCTTCACAAGCTAGTCAAGGAAGACAGCGGGACCTTGCACGGTACTCAGCACACCTACGTTATCTCGGGCGTGCACATGCTTGAAGGGCAGACCCCAACCGCCCAGGGCATGGCCATCAGGGTGAGTGGAGCGCTGTCTGTGTGTGTGTGTTTGTGTGTGTGTGTGTGTATCCTGTCTGTGTGTCTGTGTGTGTTTGTGTGTGTGTGTGTGTATCCTGTCTGTGTGTCTGTGTGTTTGTGTGTGTGTGTATCCTGTCTGTGTGTCTGTGTGTGTGTGTGTGTCTGTGTGTGTGTCTGCGTGTGCGTCTGTCTGTGTCTGTATCTGTCTGTGTCTGTATTTGTCTGTGTATATCTGTTTGTTTGTCTCTCTGTGCGCGTGTGCGCGTGTGCGCATGTGCGCGTGTCTCTGCCTCTCTATGTACTGCTGACGTTACTACCCTCATGACAACACCCCTAACCCATGCCCTCGCCCCCCCCCCACACACACACACACTTCTCTTCTCCTCGCTGCAGCGGCTTGAGCGGATGCTGACATCTCTGCCGCCGCAGGCGCCCGTCCACCTTGAACTCGCCAGGTTGGTTGCACAACTCACCACCGCCGACACACGTAACACTTACTGGCCCACCATATGGCTTCTTCTTCCCCCCCCCCGGGCCGTGCATCACCTTCTTCCTGTTCACGCTTACATTGTCATTGCAACCACCACAATCACAAGTACCGCTCCCACTCTCACTCCCACCACCACCCTCACTCCCACTCCCATCACCACGACTACCACTGCAGCATCAGCGATGCGACGCTGATGCGGCTTGCGGCAGCCCACCTCCTCCCGCGCGTCACCTCTCTCGGGCTCAACGAGCAGGAGCTTGCCTTCCTCCTCACCCACTTTGCGCACAGCAGTAGTGGTGGCGATAGCGACAACAGTGGTGATGACAGCAAACCGACGACGTCAGCGCGGGTGCTGCTCACGCAGCCGCTGGAAACAATTCGGCAGCTCAAGCACATCTTCGCAAGGTCTGAGAGAGGGGAACAGTGGGTGTGTGTGTGTGTGTCTGTGTGTGTATGTGTCTGTGTGTGTGTGTATGTATGTGTCTGTGTGTCTGTGTGTGCTCTTTGTGCTCCACTCTGCGTGTCTTCATCTGCGTACCCCTGTGCCAGCTCGTCCGGTTACCTGACCTGCCTTCGCACGTACATGTTATGTTGACTTGCGCTGCTTCATGGCGTGCACTTGCGCATCCAGACTTGGGCCGGACAGCCGGCTGAGCCGCATCCACTTCCACTGCCTCACCTACCACCTCATCGCCTCCCATCAAGGTACACCCTGCCTCTCCGTCGCACTGCAATACACACACACACACACACACATACAGCTCCTTTGCGCTGCGGGCTGACCTTCTTTTGCCTCCACTACACACCACCATCCGCCACTCACAACCACCACCACCACCACCAAAACAACAACCACCACCACCACCACCACCACCACCACCACCACCACCACCACCACCGCGCCTGGCAGGCCACTGGACGGGTGCTGGGACGGCGGCCGCTGCGGGGTCGCTCGCTGCCTCCCGCCGCGCATGCGAAGATCCACACATCAACGTCGCCTCATTCGACATCCTCCTCCCGCCAAACACACCCAACACGTAGGCCCCTGCTGTGTGTGTGTGTGTCTGTCTGTCTGTCTGTCTGTCTGTCTGTCTACCCCTCTGTCTGTCTACACCTCTGTCTATCTACCCCTCTGTCTATCTCCCCCTCTGTCCGTCTGTCTTCGCGGCTTTCTATCGTGTAGATGCATGCGATCCACGCTCTTCTCACACAGAACAACCCATCCTGTGCGTACCCCCATGTCCTGCTGCGTACCGCCACCAGCAACACGTGGCTGCACCGCAACGCCGTGTCCGTCAAGAAGGAGCGCATCTATGTACGCGGCGGGTCACCTTGTTGAACACGCCACCCTTTTGCTCGCTTCCTCACCGCCTCACTCCTTGCGCTCTCCCTCGTACACCACATTGTGCTGCTCATGTGTTCGTTTCTCGATTGTGCTCACCCGCCTCTTTGCTCACCACGGCATGCTGCATCTCACATTCCCTGTTGTGACGACCGCTGCCCTTGTTTTGCCGTGTGTTCAGGAGTTTGCTGTTGCGCCAGTGCTGGTGTGCAAGCGGCCGACAAAGACGGTTGGCCTTGGCGACACAATCTCCGCTGCAGGGCTCGAATACTCTGCATACCGCCCGTAGCCTCACACGACAACGGGGGGGGGGGGGCAGCACACACACACACACACACACACACACACACACACACACACACACACACACACACACACACACACACACACACACACACACACACACACACACACAAATGTCACTAGCCATGTAATGTCACATCTTGGCACGTGTGCGTGCGTGTGTAGAAGGTCACGCAATCAGTTCAAGTCACCCATATGTGTGTGCGTGTGCACAGACTCACGTCATCCATGTCGCCCTGCTTCTTCTTGGGCGCCTTCAAAGGCTTCTTCTTGCTGTTCAAAGTCAAGAAGACGCAGCAGTGCACATACATTGGGGGGGGGGGGGGGGTGGGCTGCATGTGGTGCTAACTGAAACACACAACACACAACGACCCACGACACACACACACACACACAACAGCATACATCCCCCAACGGCACACGACACACACACACACACACAACGGCATACAACACACACAGCAACACACTGCAGCATACAACACACACCAACACAGCAACAACACACTGCAGCACCCACCATCCACGCCATCACCAGAATCACTCACCCTCCCTGTCTGTTTCCTGCTGGCATCTTGGCTGGCGTGTGTTGCTTTTTTGCTCTTGTGTGCTGGCTGAGAAAATGAGAAAATGCTGAGTCAGCGATTTCCACTGTTGCGCAAGCGAAGAAAAAGGGAAAGCACAGAAACACACACCTCCCCAAAACACCCAATACGCACACCAACACTGACAGCAGAAGCAGCGCGTGCAAACAACACACACACAGGTAGCATCAACGCGTGCGCCCTCCAAACAGGTAAGGTGGAGGAGAGACAGCAGCGGAGAGAACAAGGGGGGCTTTGTTCCACCATATTGCTGTTCGCCTCGCAGTCACTCGCTCACTCGCTCGCACTCACTCGCTCGCAGTCACACGCACTCACTTCCCTTCTCTCGCACGCACGCACGCACTCCCTGCCCCCTCTCACGCGTGCGCTCGCAACGTTGTGAAGCTTGCCCCGCCGCATCCCTGCATCCAACCGCAGCCATGAGCCTTGACAAAGAGTCCATGCCGCCGTTCTCGCTGGCGGCGCCGTCGCGCTTCGACCTCAGCACTTACCTTGGCCGGGTCAAGCACTTTTACAACACCACCGACCCTTCCACCCTCCTCTACTCAAAGTCCAAGGTGTGTCTGTGTCTGTCTGTGAGTATGGGTGGGTGGATGTGGGTGGGTGTGTGGGTGGGTGTGTGTGGGTGTGTTGTGTGTCTCATTGGGTGTCTCTACTGCAAAGGTCTGCCTGTTTGTATGCGCGCGGCCCTGGGGACAGTGTCCGCACGACCACAAAACAACCACGCCAACTCACACATGTGCGCGCACAACCGACTGACAGATTATGGAGGCCAAGGCGCTGATGGAGTCATTCAAGCACGGGACTGTCGATCCCAGCGTGACCAACACGCAGCTGTGGAAGGCCCGCAAGCTGTGCGACTCTGCGCTGCACCCAGACACGGGCGAGCTCATCTTCCCGCTCTTCCGCTTCTCCGCGTTTGCGCCCGCCAACATCCCCATCGCAGCCATGCTCCTCTACCCGACAGCCAACCCGTACTTCATCATCACCGCCCAGTTTATCAACCAGACCTACAACGTCTGCGTCAACTATGCCAACCGCAACGCCTCCAGCAACATGTCCACATCCACCCTCCTCACCGGTGCGGACGTGTCTTCGTGAGAGGGCAGAGTGAAAGAAAGGCGCGTGGGATGGTGTGCGTGTGAGTGTGTATGTGTATGTGCGTGTGTATGTCTCTGTCTGCCTGTCTGTGTGTGTGTGTGTGTGTGTGTCTGTCTGTCTGTCTGCCTGTGTCTGTCTGTCGGTGTGTGTCTGTTTCCTTGTCTTTGCTTGTGTTTCTGTGTCTACGTCTGTGACATCTCGTGCAACCTGCTTGTGACCTGCGCGTGTGAATGACACGTTTCTCCACCTCTGCCATTGCCGTTGCTGCCGCTGTTTGCTTGTCCAGCGTATGGTGCCGCCGTCACGTCGTCCTGCGGTCTCGCCCTCGGGTTCGGAAAGTACGTTCCACGCTGCCTGCACGCTCACACAGCACCTGTCCATGACCATGTGTTGGCGCCCTTGATTGTATACACTTGTCACAGAACTGCTCCTCCTCAGTGACTACATTTTCCCCCTTAACACACACGGACTCACTCGCACGCACAACACTCACACGCTCACGATCACTACCACTCACACACCCACGCCCTACCGTGCGCGCGTGCCCTGCAGGATCAGCCGCATGCTTGCCGCGCGGGCTGGCGGGTCGCCCTCACCGCTCATGGTCGCCGCACAGCGCGCCGTCGTCCCGTACCTCGCAGTCGTCGGTCAGCTCGTGGTGGGCGTGGGGGCGTGGGGGGCGTGGGGGCGTGGGGGGCGTGGGGGGTAGTGTCTTGCTTGTGTGTGCTTGTGTGGGTGTGGGTGTGGGTGTGGGTGTGTGGGTGTAGTGTAGTGTAGTGTAGTGTAGTGTAGTGTGTCGTGTGTCGTGTGTCGTGTAATGTAGTGTAGTGCTGTGTGGTGTGTGTGTGTGCATACATGCGTGTGTTCTTGCATGTGAGTTGCGCGGTGCCAAACTCCTCGCCATCTCACCGCCTCCCGGCTCGTTGTCTTGGACAGGTGCTGGTATTGTGAACTTGCTCTGCATTCGCCAGACGGAATTCAGCGAAGGCGTCACCGTCTACTCCGAGTACGCACGCACGCACGCACACACTCGCATGTGTTCGTATTGCGTTCAGCAGGCTGTGGTGCACTGATGGTGGTACAGCGGTGGCGGTGATGCAAAGATGGTGCTGGTGGCATGCGCTGTGCTGCTGCTTTGCGGTCACAATAATTGAACACAGCTCACATACCGACCATCAACTGCAACCATACACATGTATGCACCCCCCCCCCCCACCAAATGTATATTGCCATACTCCCTGTCTCTGTGCGTCTGTGTGTCTGTGTGCCTGCCTCGCCCCCGGCCACCCCTCGCCACCTCGTCCCTCCGTGCATCAGGGGTGGTGAGGATCTCGGCAAGTCGGTCGTTGCCGGTCGCGATGCCCTCAAGAAATGCTCCATCGTCCGCGCCCTGTACGTGCCTGTGTTTGTCTACGTGTGTCTTTGTGTGTGTGTGTGTGTGTGTGTGTGTGTGTGTGTGTGTGTGTGTGTGTGTGTGTATGTCTGTCTGTCTGTCTGTCTGTGTACGTGTGTCTGAACTCCTCTGCCTGTTGTGCTAGCTGCCCCTTTTTTCCCCGCAAGCGCTCACTGCTCCACCCCACTCCTCCCCGCCTCCCGTCTTCATTTGCGTTCGCACATGTCAGGTGGTGCATCCCCATTTGCTGCCCGCCGCTGATCATGTCTCTCGTCGACAAGGTGTGAGACGCTGTTCATCTGTGTTGTGTGTGTGTGTGTGTCTGTGTGTTCATCTGTGTGTTCATCTGTGTGTTGTGTGTCTTTGAGTGTGTGTGTGTGTGTTGTTCTGCATGTGGCGTCTGTTTATCTGCTTGTCTGTCTGTCTGTGTGCGTCTGTCGTGCGCAGGTGCATTCATTTTCATTTTTCACGCGGCGAATTCATGCCCTCCTCCCCTTTGCCGCTGCAGGTGAAGGTCATCCGTCAGAATCCGCGTCTTCGTTTCATCGCTGAGCTCGTCGTCATCGGCGCTTCGGTGAGAGCACACACACACACACACACACACACACACACACACACACACACACACACACATTCACGCACACACACACACATTCACGCACACACACACACATTCACGCACGTACACATTCACACACGTACACATCCACACATGCACACATCCACCCATTACCAGGTTGGGTTTGGCGTGCCGCCGGCGCTGGCTGCATACCCGCAGCGGGACAGCCTGCCCGTGACGGCAATTGAGTCACGATTCCACAACCTGATTGACGAGAGCGGGAAGCCAATCGACCGTGTCTACTTCAACAAGGGCCTCTGATGATGATGATGATGATGATGATGATGATGATGATGATGATGATGATGATGATGATGATGATGATGATGACGATGACATGAATCGGGTGACAGCCCCGAAGTGAGTGGCCAGGCTCATTTGGCTCGTTGGGGGTGAGTGTTGTTGGGCTGTGTATGTGCATGTGTGACAACAGTATCAGGTGTGCCTATTTCTATCCTACTTGTTTGCTCCCCGCCCCCCTCGAAGTCTCGACCTCTCCCTTGCTGATACTGTGATGTGACATGATGTGAAGGATATCAGCAGTTGTTTCCAACAAGTATGTTTGAATTGACAAGCTTGTGCGCGCGCGCGCGCGCGCGCGTGTGTGTGTGTGTGTGTGTGTGTGTGTGTGTGTGTGTGTGTGTGTGTGTGTGTGTGTGTGTGTGTGTGTGTGTGTGTGTGTGTGTGTGTGTGTGCAGTCTTGATCGCTTCCCTGCTACTGTGTGGGCTTTTCCCATTTTCAAAGGCACCCAGAGTCGTGCGTGTGTTGTTGCATCATATGTAAATGCCTTGATACTCGTTCACATACATACACGCATACACACGCGTGCAAATGCTGTCATGACATGACAATGGTTGAATCGGTTAGAACTGAAAAGCTGTGCAAATAACACACTGGTGGTGAGAGATTTAGAGGTTTAGGAAGAGGACAAGCCGAAAATAACCAACTGTATGCCGCCCTCCACACACGTATTACACATCACATCATGCAGCGGTGCGCTAGCTGTCTGAGTCACTGCTGTCGTCGGATGACGAGTCCGCCAATACGGAGGAGGAGAAGGGCGGTCCACCCTGCCCGCGCACAGACCGCGCCGCTGCTGGTGTTGGTGTTGGTGTATGGGGGGTGGCGGTGGCCTGCCGGGTTGCAACCTGAACAGTGGATCGTCAGCACACAGTCATGCGTGAGACATGAGGGATGCAGGGCACAAGCCCAAGCTTAGACCCGAACGTGCGCATAGACACGCACACACATACGCATCTACACACATAAGCATACACGCATACACACGCACGCACGCACACACACACACGAACACGAACACGCACACACACACACGAACACGAACACGCACGCACACACCAACACACACGCACACACCAACAGGCACGCACGCATGCACACACACGCACACACCAACACACACGCACACACCAACACGCACACACCAACACATGCGCACGCACCTTGCGCTTTGCTGCCTTTGGCGGGTGCGCGCCGAACTTTGGCGACGGCGGTGACGCTGGGCGCTTCCCTTCGATATGGGGCGGCGTGTGCTCTTCCGAGTTGCTCACTTCTGCTGCCGACGATCGCGGTTTGCGCTCGGATATGGGATCGGGACGCAACACCGCCTCCCCGCCCGCGCTGCGCTTGTACTTGACGCTCACATCCTTGATGAAGCGGTCCAGCACAAAGCACTGGCGCCCTGCATCAAACCGGCACAGGTACGTCTGCAGCGGTGGTGGTGGTGATGATGGTGGTGGTGGTGGTGGTGGTGGTGGTTGAGAGGGTGAGGAAAGGACGTCAAAGTACGGATAGAGGTGAGACCATGTAAACACGCGGGGTAAATCAAAACATGGACAACAGTGAACTGGCTAGCAAGCAACAAGCCCAGATGATCCCGCACACACACATCAGCACACACACACACACATCAGCACACGCACACACACACACACACATCAGCGCACATCAGCACACAAGGACCCATCTGCATGCTGACATACCGTGCTGTTCTTCATGTTGCCAAACATGTTGACTGTGGTGTCATTGTCACCGCCAAACTGCATGTGCACGTTGCCTCCCTCGTCACCATCTCCGATCTTGATTACACCCGATGAACTCGCCGACGCCGGCTTGAAATCATCTGCACAACGCACATGCGAGTGCGCATGTGAGTGTGCAGGCGGGTAGAAGCATCATGCTGATCATCCCGTGCCAAATCCCGCCACTCCAACAGACATACACACACACACAATGATGAACGCACACGCACGCACACACTCTCTCTCATGCACATCACATTACACCACCTCCACACAGCGCTTAGCTCCTTGCCCCATCTCTCCGCTCCTTCGTCTCCACCACCCGCCTCTCCAAGCACCTTACATCTCAAGAGGATTGGTTCATCGGCGTCTGTTGGCTTGAGAAATGTGTCCCCGAGAACGACCTCATATTCCACATCCGGCTTTGGTCCATCACCAGTGCTATTGCTGCTGCTGCTGCTGCTGTTGCTGTTGCTGCTGTTGCTGTTGTTGGCGGTGGCGCCCTTGCTGCGCTCGTCATGCTCTCCAATACAACCCCAAGGGCCTCCCTTGTTGTTTTTCCTCCCAACCAACCAACTCCAACCAACTCCAACCACCACAGTGTGCACGCTGCTGCCTCCCACGAACACACACACACACACACTCCGCGTCAGCTCTTGCTTCGTCTTGTTGTCTTTTGCTTGGTCGCGGCGACTTTCCTCTTTGGGCTGTGATTGCGGAATAATGAGTGATATCTTCAACCAATTATCGCGTGTATATGACTTGCCGCCACACATATCCCCGCGCCACTGCACACAGCATCACTCTCCTCTCCTCTCCTTCCGTCTGCACCTCGCTTGTTGAGGTTGAGGTGTGTTTGTTGTTGTGGTTGTTCTCGTTGTCGTTGGTGCTGATGTTTGAATGGTTGAGATGTGTGAGGAGGCTGCTGGGTTCAGGTCATGCTGCCACTGTTCAGTGCTTGCTGGCTGGGGGATTTCTGTCGTGTGCGCTGCGTGTGCGCTGTCGCTGCGTGTGTGGCGCTCTTCTTGACACGAGGCACTGACAGGTTGTACCTTTTCCCCTCTCTCAAACACACAGCCAGTGCTTGCTTGAGCCTTGAAGGATCCATCGCATCGCGCTGATGGCCAGCGGCAAGGACGTCGTTGGCCGCATTGTGGCCGTGGACCCCGACGCAGTCTACAAGGCCTGCCCACACTGCTTCAAGAAGTTGTTGCCCGATCAAGGCTGGTACGTGACTCTGTGTGTGCGCGCGCGCCTGTGTGTGTGTGTGTGTGTGTGTGTGCGCGCGCGCCTGTGTGTGTGTGTGTGTGTGTGTGTGTGTGTGTGTGTGTGTGCGTGTGTGTGTGTGTGTGCATGTGTGTGTGTGTGCGTGTGTATATACCTGTGGTCTCAGTGTTTGCATACCTGTGTACGCCTTTTGTAGCTTGCATGCACATCTGCTTGTCGGGATGTGACGCTACTTCACTGCCTTCTTCTTCCCAATGCAAGCATGCATGTGCGTCATGCGTCGAGTGTCTCGCCAGCTGCTCATGAAAAAACAATTTCTTTTCTGCACACTCTAACACACACGCACACGCAAACACC